GACTCCTTCATAGGTCAGGCTTCAGGACTGGGATGTGTGTGCAGCTAGTCTCAGGGCAGGGGGCCCAACTTCAGTCCTTACAGGCTGAGAATAATAGTCAGTGGTGATCAGCCAATAGCACCATGTGCTAGGTGCTAAATTGGGTGTTCATCACAACAATCCTGCGAGATGGCATTGCACCCATTTTGCAGGGGAGGAAACGGTCTTCAGAAGTTAAGAGCCCAGGCTTAGCTAGAAAGGAGAACAGTGGGATTTGAAGTGGAGTTTTTTTTTTTTTTTTACCCTAAAGACCATAATTCAAAAATGTTCCGTTATTTTCCTTGAATAGTAGCTTACCATTCAATATGCACTTGTTAAGTGCAAGGCACTGCAGAGTGCTTTGCATATAAAACAGCCTGGACCAGCCAGGTGCCGCTCTCGGAAGATTTTATGGGGAAGGCCGCCATCTAGTGGCCAAACTGCAAGCCCAGCATTTACCAGGACGAGGTGATCAGGGGAAGGTGGGGCTTTGGGAAACAGGTGAAGTCAGTGGGGAAGAGATCCCAGCTGGCGCAGCCTTGGTTTGGGAGGGTTGCTCCGCAGACAGAGTGCCTGGTCTGGGCATCGGAGGAGGTTCAGGCTGCCCAGCTGCCTCAGGATGGAAGGGGGGACTTGGGTGTGGGTGTGGTAGACCAGAACTATCCTGGAAAGTCTCACCTTGAGCCCCTCAGAGGATTCCTGAAGGTAAGCCTCAGCTAGACTTCTCCTTAAACCCTTCTCCCAAGGTGTTGTGTCCTTTTACCAGAGTGAGGTGGGGAGCAGGGACGTTGGTGTATCTGAGGCTTTCTGTGCAGAGTGGCCCCGTGATCCCGCCCTTGGTGTTCTACCTTGTACAGACACTGTCCCCACCTCTGAGGGAGTTCTACAACCTCGTCCTCATTTCTGGAATGGGTGTCCTGAGGAGCTCTCCTCTGTCCTCACCCTGTCACCCCAGTTCAGGCCCTCATCTGGGCTGGTACATTCGGGCAGGGCAATCTCCCAGGTTCTGCTGTTTGCCCCCCCTTTTCTCCCCACTTTGCTAATTGAAGGATTTCCTAGTCGTGGAGGACCCGCGTAGGCCCCCTCATGCCCTGCAGGAGAATGTCCAGTTTCCTGGCATGATTTTCATTTCTGCCTCATTCTCCCTGACACGCCCCATCCCAGGCCATGCATCTCCTGTTGGGCTCTGACCGGGTGCTTCTCAGTCCCGGCTGCACATTCTCATCACCTGGAGAGCTTCAAAGCCTACGCTTGCCCAGAACCCAGGACCTGGAGGTCGTGGGTGTGTTTAGAAAGCCCCCAGGTGATTCTAATACGTTGCCAGGGGGCTCATGTGTAACCACTGTTCCAGGCTTTCTGAACTTCTCCCCAGCGGACTTGCATTTTTTCTTCTCCCACATGTAGCACACTTTCCTTAGTCCAGACTGTCTTCTTCTAGCTTTTCTAACTGGCATTCTCTCAACTGGGAAGGCTCAGCACAAATGCTCGTGGAGAGAACCTGCAGTCTTCTCCTCTGGGCTTCACATTTTGTACATCACTTCTATGTACCCTTAAGCCCGTGGTGCCCCATTGATTGGCTTGTTTCTCCTCACACCTTAGACGGTGAGATCTTGACCATGATGGACTTATCTTTGTATGACCAGCTTCTGATAGTGCCAGGGACAAAATTGTGCTTGGTGATGGAGTGTTGGTGGATGTCCCAATGGGTGTCCTGCTCAGAGAGCCAGTCTTCATCTGGCTGAGACCTTCAGCCTTCCAGATGTCGACCTTTCTGAAGAGCCCTTGAGGCTGTGAGCCAGGGTCTCACACTGGGAGTACCTGTTCATGTTCCCTAGGCCTGGGAGAGGGGAGGCGGCCGCACGGAGTGGGATTTGAGGGAAGGGCCTCCTCCCTCCTCCCAACCCCTGCATAAAAATCTCTCCCATATGACGGATGGCTCAGTCCTCAATTTCCATGCTTAGAAAACCTGTGCTTGGAGCAAAGATTTAAAAATAATAAAAACCAACATTTCCCAAGGACTTAGCATATGTTAGTGATACATGCAATATGCCATTTAATCATCATAGCAGCCTTGTGTTTACCTGTCCTCACGTACAGGTGAGGAAACGGAGGCTCTTGGACATTGAGTTACATATGAAAAACTGCTTGGGCTCACCAATACCCAGTCTCCTCCTCCTCTAAGGGTCATAGATGACATTTTTCTAGTCTCCTTTGCAGTAGGTGGGTCCATGGATATAGGAGAGTGGAGGTGGGGGGCTAGGCATCTTTGTCAGGTTGTGGTCCATTAAAAATAAAATAGTCACACACATGGTCTTGGATCTTTCTCCCTCAACCAGCTCAGTGGAAAGGATGTCAAAATTCTGAGGACCTAGAAGACTGAGCCACAAGATGAAAGGAGGCTGGGGCTCTGAGTGATGGCATGGAGCAGAGCCATTCCCATCCCTGATCCACAGTGGATGGCTATATGAGTAAGAATTCAAGTTTTCTGTGTTAATTTATGTTGGGTTTCTCTCTTACAGCAGCTATTGCTATGTACCCAACTTGATACATATAACCATCTCTAGCTCCCATGTTTAGTGAGTGGTCCAGTTAGGATTTATTTCCAGGCAGGCTGACTTCAGAGTACACAACTTGATCCCCTGCACTGCCTTTCCAGAATTCTGTAACAAGGTGCAAATACCCTGGGAGAGGTCAGGCATTCTGTCCTGTCATTCTAGGACTAGCCTGAGGAAAGGCAGGAGAGGATCTTTGCCCAAGGCTGTCTCCCCGTCCCATGTTATGGGTTCGTGTGTGTGTGTGTGTGTGTGTGTGTGTGTGTGTATTGTGAGGGGTTGGACTGGGCTGGGTGTAGTAGGAAACTCATGAATAATTCAGAGATGGTTGGCATGCAAGAGGAGAGTTTCAGGCTGTAGTGCATTTCTGGTGACATGGGATTCCCTCTGCACCACACTCTGTGCCGACCCCTTTGGGTCTACCTGGCACCTAAGAGTCTGGTTGGGGCAGAGGAGCTCTAGGTTGAGCGAGCTCCCCACTGGCTTCTTGCTTGTGATGAACTCTGTCATGGTTGGTCCCACTGGCTGCTTCTACCCAGGGAGACACAACACAGTGGCTAACCCCTTTGTAGCTCCCACCGAACCAGGATTCAGGCTGGCCCCGTGACCAGCTGGAGGCTGTTCTGAGAGTGCGTATCCAAGGGGTCCTAACACCAGTGGGATTAAACAAGGCAGGTGGCAGCTGGACCAGAGGAACGGTCTCCTGCCTCCCCCGCGAAGGGGGATGGACCAAACTCACTGCACTTGGCAAAGGTGTTTGTATATGCTTCCCTCTCTGAAACATTTTTGTTCTCCTGTTTGCTTTACTAAATCATAGCTCGCTCTGCCGCTGATGCTAACAGGGCCCATGAGACCTGACACCTGGTGTAAAGTAGGCTAGCCTGGCCCCTCTCTCCCTATCCTCCCACCTGGGGAAGTGACCCCTGGCCTGGCTGCGTGACTGGGAGGGCAGCAGCAGCTCGGAGCGCTGGAGGGGGTCTCAATGCTGTGCTAGATAGACTTCCTGGGGGGCGTCTGAAATCAGCCACAGCTGGGCTTGAGTCTGATTCCACCACTTAGCAGCACGGGGGCAGTTACAGTCTCCTCACCTGTGAAGTGAATGCTATGAGGAGCTCGTCCTTCTAACCTAGCCACACAATTCACTTCCACTCCCTGCTGTAGTCCCAAACGCCTCCATCTCAGGCCAGTGGCCACCAGCCTGCTCTGTCGTCTCACGCAGATGACCACGTCAGCTCCTCTGCCTGTTCTCCGCGCTGCATCCAGAGCACTGGTTTATGAAATTAAAACAGACTCCCTCTCGTTTAATTAAAACAAACAAAAAAAAAGAGAGCGAGAAAGAACCCCCCACTCTTTAATCTGTGCATCTTCTGATTCCTGCCAACCTCTTCTGTGTTCCAGCCTGGCTCACCACCGGCCCTTTGCATATGCCGGTGCCCTGGGTCCAGAATGCATTCCTCTCTCTTCACCAGATCAATGCTTACTTTCAGACCCCAGCAACTTCTGGGCCATTCTCAGTCTAGGTGACCTCTCCAGTTATGTGCTTCCCTGGCTTTAGACATCTTTCTAAAAAATTTTTTAAATTTTCAGTTTTTTTAAGTTACCTTTTTCATAGCTTTATACAGCCTCTTGGCGCTTAACACCCCTGCCATTTTCACTACTTAGTGTAATGCTTTGATTATTGTTTGTCTACTTTCCTGACCCAAGTTTCCAGAGGTGAGGACCCAAGTTGATGTCTACCCACCTCCTCTATCCCCAGAACTTAGCACAGGACCTGGCACGTGACAAGCTTTCCGTAGAATGCTGCTGAATGAATGAAAGATGAGGATCAAATGAAAATGTTGCGTGCAGAGCACTTAGCACTGTTCTTGGCGTTAGTAAGCATCAGTGAATACTAGCTATTGATGATACTACTACTCTAACTTTGGGCTTAATGGAAAAAACTTGTCCAAGTCGTAAGTGTTCTCCTTACTTGGGTTGCCCCAAGTGTACAAGTTTGGGGGAAAATGCATCTGGAAGAAAATATAGACATACACAGATACATGCACGCCTCCCAGTGTGGCGAGAGTGTTTGCCCTCACTTCCTCCCAGCACTTCCCAGAAGTAGAACGTGGCCTCAGGGAGAAGCCCGGCTGTTCCTTGAGGGCTGGAGGGACCCATCCATGCATGGGTGGGTGTGAGGCTCCTCATTGCCCCCCAGCCCCAGGTCCAGACTTTCCTCTCACCTCTGTTCCACGCAGAGAGGAGGCTGCAGGTGTAGGTAGAGATCACTCTAACATGTAGAGCAGTTTGGGGAGCACTGAGCTGCCTCTAACAAAAGCTCCTCCCAAAGTTCGAAATACCAGCTCAGCCTGTGCATCTTGGCAGCCCCCCCATTCCTCCGGCAGTCTCTACCTTTTCCTCACCGCAAAGCATTTCCACAGAAGACCAGTGTCCACAGGAGTTTTAGAGACTTTATTTATGTATAAACAATTTAAACACTTTGCCATAAATTATCTTTGCCTGTCCCTAGTCTTTGCTTAGCAGCAAATTAAAATTAATATAAAAACTCGATGAACAATTCATACATGTATATTACAAAAAAGTTCCTGTACCAAAGTTCTTATTAGACTTTTTTTTTTTGGATTTTTTTTTTTTTTGTGGGTTTTTTTTTAAATTTTTTAATTTTCTCTCTTCGTGGTGACTGTCATGTGATTGTCTCAGTTTCTGGACCAAACAAACACACTAATAATTTTAAATCTGAAACAGTGATTGTGCCTTGAGGCTTATGTATGTACAGGGTGATCTGAAGTGGTGCCCGTTAGCAAAAGAGTGTCACAATGCCACAGCTCTACTTCCACTGATACCCACGAACTACGGAATCTAAACAGACTACACCCTGTAACTGCGTATTACTGTCCACAATGGAATCTTCAAAGACAAAAAAGTATGAAATTTATCTGTAGTGATTATAGCCACCATTTTGAATTAAATTTTACACTCTGCGCTCAAATAAATTAGCTCAGGCCGGACTAAGTTGGGACCTGAGAGTTAAGTGCTGAACGGTATTATTTCGCTTTGATTTTTGATGTTTCCTTTTTTTGTGTGTTTTTAGTTTTTTTTTTTTTCTTTAAAAAGTATTTCCAGTGCTCACTCTTTCACTTTTATCCCCCCCCTCCCCGGTCGCTACACACAAATCACCCCCCAAAGTCGTGTTTTAAATGCACCTGTATTTGTTTAAACGAAAACGTCTGTAGTATTTGTCCAACAACAAGCAGTCTGATTCGGTTTCCTCAGCTGGTCTGTGATGCCGGCCCTGTGGGATGTCTCTGCGTCGCTCACGTGTGGATGAGTGAGGTAATAGAATAGGAGGCCTTCTCGTCTTCACGTCTTTGTTTTTCGGTCAGTGTGTATGTTTTGCTTTTCGTTTTTTGTGTTTTTTATTTTGCTGTGTTTTTCTGTTCTTTTGTTCCTTTTAGACATTTTGCGTCTTTTTTGTTTTGTTTTGTTATTTTTCTGTGTAGACCCAGAACAAGTGGGTCATATTTTAGGGGAACTTGGAACATTTTGTGTGTTTGCTCATTCATTCGTTTGTTTCGTTTTCCTCAGAATTTTCAGCCAGGCTTTAGTCTACTTCAGGGTGTGGGACTTCTCGCTTGGACAGTAGCATTTGAACTCAAAAAATGTGAGCTTTCTTGCCACTTGGTATCCTGAAGCAGCCCGGCCTCAGTGCCCCTGGTAGGTCTTCATCTCCTTAGGAGAGGAGATAACAGTTACTCCCGCTGAGCCATCCAGACAAGGAATGGCAGCAGATGATTTTGTTACCTCTTTCCCATCTCATTCTGTCTTAAAAACTGGATGTTGCTGCTACTGTCTGCAAGCTCTGGGTATTGCTCTACGGGAAGCACATAATATCCCTCGTAACCTTGCACGCGTCCCGTGCTCAGGAGCTGCTGCTTCTCGCCCTCAGTCCACAGGCGGCTTCCCTCTCTCCCGTCCCTGGCTTTCTGCTGCTCCTTGGCCCAGGCGGTGCCCAGGGCCCTCTGTCTCGCCTGGTCCAGGACGCGGGCCTTCTCTTCATCCAGGGTGTCGGGGGTGAGGCCGTAGCGGATGCTGAGCAGCAGCGTGGAGTACTGGAATTCAACGTTGGTGAACCTTCGAGTCCTGCCGTTGACCAGCAGTGTGGGCTGCGACACGGTCACGTTCACCCCACTCTCCAGCACCTTGCGGCCGATTGTGGTGCCCAGCGTGACCAGGTCGCCGTCGGCCGAGCCGATCTTCACGAAGTAGTGGGTGTCCTTGCCCTCGATGCTGTAGTGCATCTTGTCCAGGTAGTAGGCGTTGTTCAGCACGGAGGCCACCTTGCGGCTGTCCTCGCTGGCGATGCTGGACACGCCGGTGGTCACTTGCCCTTCTTTGATGGCGAACATGATGCCTTTGCCGATGATGGGTGTGGTGGTGGCAAACCAGTGGCCTGCTTTCTCTCGGATGTTGGCATGGAGCCTTTTGGAGATGACCTGCCCTTCCAGAGCCATGAAGGCCTGATTATGCCTCTCTGTTGTGTGCTGGACACCTGTAATGAGCTGTGGGCAGAAGAAAACACAGAAGGCTAAGATGATGGCCAGGCAGCTCTTTGCATGGGCCGAGAAGCTCATTAAAAAAGGGTCCGCAAGGGAAATGCTTGGACTCCCTGCAAGAACTAGTCTTCTGTCTGTAATGACACGAGCTAATACAGTCCTACCTTTTGAAACTAGCCCAGGCTGGCTGGTTCCCAGTGCTCTGATGGTGTGGCCTGTCTCCTTGTAACCATGACCCTGACTAAAAAGACGGTGCAGAGGTTTGCCACCTTGCTGACATCCATACCTCATCCTACCCACTTACCACGTGTCTCCGTTATCGGAGAAGAGAGAGTCACTCTGCTCTCGGATGGTTTGGAGCTGCCTTGCACACTTCAGACCCAGGAATATCCTGACTTAAAGGGCAGGGGGTTCCTTTGAGAAGCTATAAACCCTGCTGTTGTGACCTAGATGTTTTTCAAGGCCAATGCCCTGGGTATTCATTAACTTCCTTGGGTTAAGACCTTGCGACTTAAAGCATGGCTAACAGCAGAGAAATTGCCAGGACCTGCCTTGTTAGAAAAGCAGAATCTCAGGTCTCACTCCGGACCTATTGAGTCAGAAGCTGCACCTTAATAGGACACACCCTAGGTGGTTTGTGTGCATATTAATGTTTGAGAAGCACCAGACTAAGAGGTTCTGGCATCGTGGGCTGGAGGGAATATCCCCGGGCTTTAGTCATTTGCTTTGGATCTTTGCTCTGGTTCTGCAGAGGGACGAAATCACCATTATCTCCTTGGCCTTGAACTCTCTACTCACAAATTACAACTCATCTCAATTGGTGGTTGGGGGACAGACTGGGATAATGGAAGAGGCTGTGTTTGGGAGGTAACGGCACTTAGATAAATGAGAGAAATGATGGCTATTCATCCACTGAGTGGTCCCCACAGGGCAGAACAGAGAGAACGTTGTTCTCAATTACCCACCAGCCCCTCCTTGTCTCTCTCTAGTTATACAGTGTGGATGATTATTCAGAGCAGCTGAGACCTTTTAGACTTTTACGTTGCTGGGCGCTGTCCTGTAACGGGTTATCTGAACACCGACACCCACCCCTCCTGTTGGACCGTGCCGGACGTCTCAGCAGCACCCAAATAGAAACTGACCACCTCTCGGTCATCACTGCAAGACCCAAACACAAATTATGTTCTGAAAACTTAATCTGTGTACATTTGGGCTATAAAATGCTGAGGTTTTATGTCAGGCATAAAAATATTCTTTAATGGGATAGAAACTGCAAACCACCATTATATTACGTCCCATAAAAGCCAAAAGGGTTGTAATCTTATAGGCAGTGCAGATGGTAGGTTGCTGCTAGATTTCTCTGTGCTGTTGTTAATCAAGGAGTGACTCAAGGGTATATACTGAATAGATAATGATACCACAATTAAGGTAATAATTGAGGTTGGGAAGAAATATGTGCTGTGTCAGACAGGTGACAGCACTGACATTTGCTTTCCTGGGAAGTCACAATGTTTCATGCACCTTTTTATACCCAGCTCCGATGTTTGCCTCTTCTACTGACATTCCCTTGGCTCCCATGCGGTTCCGTTTGCAAAAGGGAATGAGGACATATAATGTATTATTTAAAAAAAAAAAAAAGGGAATGAGGACAATCATTCAGATTCTTGGCAGGAACCTCCGCTTACCTGTCCATTCTCACTGGCTTGACTCTCTGACAATTCATAGGGAGGAGGCACGAAATACATTTTGGCTCTTGGGAAGCCAGGAATTATGTTGCTAAGCTGAAATCCAAACATCACAAGCCAGCTTTTCACATCTAGGGTGGAAACAAAAATAAAGATTTCTGAATAGTAATGGGTGGAAAGCAGTTGAGGATCTTGGAGAGAGAAAACAAAATGGGTGGTTGGGTGTGGAGGCCAGCAAGGGAGAGAGGCGAGAGCTTGTGAGGGTCTCCTGGTCCAGACCCAGAGTCGCTTTACATGGGTCCTGGGAAGGATGTCCTTCCAACCTTGGTCACTTGATAACCCCGTGCGGTGATTGAGGGGGCCAGTGCTGGAGTAAGATCTAGTTTCGATTCCTCTTACTGTGTGACCTTGGGTAAGTTCCTGCTCCTCTCTAAGCTTTTGGTTCCTCAGATGTGAATTGGGATAATAACTGTACCAATGTTGGGTTGTTGTGAAAGTAGGAGAAATCCTTGTCACCGTGCCTGGCACATAGATCGCTCAGTAAATAGGAACTCCTTCATTTAGCAAGTATTTAAAGGAACATTTGTTATAGGCCAGTTGATGTGTTTGGAAGCTGGAGGTACAATGAACAACTAGACGGATAAGGGATGATTATTAACACTGTGCAGACATTGGCAGGGGTGGGGGACTGCACTGAGGCTCGCTCATTATGGAGAGGGTGTTCCAAAAGTATGTGGAAGGCACAAAGTCTTCTGGCTTCTGAGACCCTTTTCCTGGATGCCCACTCTTCAAAGAGAGGCTAGAGAGCGCTCTCGTGTGTTCAGAGTAAGACTTACCCTGCCAGGGTCATGGCTGAGTCCCTTGCTCCCCTCCTCCCTAGGCTCTTCAATCCATCCTAAGCTTCTTGTCCCTATTCCTCAACATCTTGGTCTCTTTTCTTACCTAGCACATGTCCATGGCCAATCATTAGAATCATCCCTTGTATATATTCTCAGATCCTGTGTCCCTTTCTCACTTTATCACACTTGCTTGGTGAAATCACAATTTTGGTTAAATCCATGTATTTGCCCATGCCTTCTTTGTACCTGTGCAGCTGAATGTGGCTGGAGAAACAAACATAACTAACTAACATACGGTAGTTACGTAGTTACATAGTTACAGAGAAACGTAATGTAACTAACAAACTGACTGGTGTCCCTTCAAATTCCTGACTGTGAACCCCAGTTGTGCCTTCCTGCTGCCTGACATTGTTCCCTTCCTTCATTAGTCATTCTCCTCTTCTGCTGGGTGATGTTACATCTTCTTCTCTCTCCTAAAACCGTCAGCATCTGCCTTCCCTTTTCCCTAGAGCAGCTGACCTTGTTTTCTATTCTGAAAAAACCCAGTGCAGCCAGAGGGGAGTTCCCCTAAACTCTCATCACTTTTACTGGCCTTCCAGCATCTGTATCCATATTTCCTGCTGCCTTCTATTTACTCTAGATGAGCTGCTGAAGTCAGTCCTCCACGTGTGCAGTAGGTAGCATCTTTTCTTATGCACCCAAGGACATCCCTCCAGCAACTCTCTCTCCCCCATGGCATCAAATTACTCCATTTCTCAATGGATCAACCCGGTCAGCATACAAACATGCTACCAAATGTCCACTTTAAAAAGAAATCTCTTTTATGTCCCTTCTTCTCCCATTTGCTACCATCCATTTCTCTCACGCTCCTTGACAAAAACTTCTCAGGATCAAAATAACTCTCTGTGCTCCTTGTCTCCCATTCTCCTTTGAATCAGGCTTTGTCCCTAACTACTCCACTGAAGCAACTCTTGTCAAGGTCATGAATGACCTCCATGTTGCTAAGTCTGATGCTACTTGACAAGTTAAATGCTCCTTTCTTTTTTTCTTGGCTCTCTGGACAACACATTCACTTGTTTGTCCTTCTCCTACCTTGGTAGCCACTTCTTGTCCCTTTTTGGTTCCTCCTCATCTGCCTCCTGATCTTTTTAATGTTGGAATGCCCTAGACTCAGTCTGTGAACTTCTCCACTCTATCTACTCTCACAAACATGGTGATCTGATCCATCCTTAGGGCCCTATATACCATCTACATACTTATGCTGACTCCAAAACTTATATCTCCATCCTGGACCTCTCCTTGAACTCCAAACTACTCTATCTAATTATATTTCAAACTTTTGTCCAAAACTGGACTCCTGCTCTTCCTCTCCAAACCTGTCCCGTCCATAGACTTTTCCATCCCAGATAATGGCCACTCCATCCTTCTAGCCACCATCCTTGCCCCCTTTCTTTTCCTTACTCTCCACATCTAAATCCATTGATAAATCCTTTACTTTCTTTTAAATTGAGGTAAAATTCACATAACATAAAATTCATCATTTTAACCATTTTAAAGTGCACAATTCAGTGGCTTCTAGTACATTCACAATGTTGTACAACCATCATTACTATTTAATTCTAGAACATTTTCATCACTCCAAAAAGAAGCCTTACACCAATTAGCAGTCCTTCTGCATTCTCCTTTCTCCTCAGTCCCTGATAACCACCAGACTGCTTTCTATCTCTGGATTTGCCTATTCTGGACATTTCTTATAAACACAATCATACAATATGTGTCCTTCTGTGTCTGGTTTCTTTCACTTATCATAATGTATTCAAGGCTCATCTATATTGTAGCACATATCAGTAGAGTTCATTTCTTTTCATGGCCAAATAATCCATTGTTTGGGTATACCACATTTTGTTGATCTATTCATCAGTTAATGGGTATCTGGGTTGTTTTCATTTATTTATTTATTTATTTATTTATTTATTTACTATTATGAATAATGCTGCTATGAATATTTGTGTACAGATTTTTGTTTGAAAACCTGTTTTCAGTTCTCTTGCTTCTATACATACTTAGGTGTGAAATTGCTGGGTCATATGGTTAAATCCTTTATTTTTACTTTTAAAATAGATCCAGAATCTGTGTCCACTTGTCATCACTTCACCACCTCGATCCTGGCCCATCATCCTTCAGCTGGACTTCTCTCTCTTTTTTTTTAAAGATTTTATTTATTTGACAGAGGCACAGCGAGAGAGGGAACACAAGCAGGGGGAGTGGGAGAGGGAGAAGCAGGCTTCCCGCTGAGCAGGGAGCCCGATAAAGGGCTCTATCCCTGGGACCATGGCCTGAGCTGAAGGCAGACACTTAACAACTGAGCCACCCAGGCGCCTCTTCACCTGGACTTTTAACTGGCTCCCTGCTTCCACCTTTCTGCCCCAATACCTTATAAGCATAACAGCCAAAGTGAGCTTTTAAACCTGGAGCAGACCATGCCATTCCTCTGCTCAGAACACCCAGGGAGCCCCCATTTTTCTCAGTGAAGAAGCCAAAGTCTTTCTACTGGTCTGTAAGGATACTCACCTGTTATCTGTCTGACCTCATGTTCTCTTGCTCTCTCCCTTTATTTTTTGAACATGCCAGGCACATTCATCTTGGGGCCTTTGCACTGACAAGCTCCTCTGCCCAGAGTGTACTTCCCTAAAAGTATTTTTTGGCTCTCTCACCTCTTTCAAGTCTTGTTCAGATGTTGCCTCTTGAATAAGGCAAACTCAACCACCACATTTAAAACCCGCTCCCCTTCTCCACCTCCGGCAATCCCAAGTCCCCTTATTCTGTTTATCCTCCAGCCCCTGCCCCCCAAGTAATCACATTCTAACATGCTGTATCATTTGTGTATTTATTGTTTACTGTCTGTCTCCCTCAATGAGAATGTGAGTTCCATTAAGGCAGGGAGTTAAAAATTTTGCTTTATCCACTGATGTCCTCCCAGGTCCTATGATAATGCCCGACACAAAATAGGAGCTTGATGGTATACATGGAATGAATGAATGAAAGAACACTGAATATATGTGGCAAAAGCTACCCTGAGTACTGTAACAGAGGAACTAATGGTGCCTGAGAGAACGCTTCTGGACAGGTATAACTACCTCCTGCCCTGGGACTGCTGTGAGGAGTTTAATGTTGACTTTGCTACTAAACACGTAGGCACAAAAGAACCTTCTGATGAGAGGGAATCTGGGATCCACAATCCATCCATTGTCCTTGGCCACAGACTAGTTCCTTCAATAACTTGGGCTATCACTAATACGTGTAGTTACTATGGAAGAGTCATTTAAGAATACAGGTTTGCAATTGCCTTGTGTCTGCATCTAGCAGACAGGAGCCTGGCTCTAATCCAGCAATGATCATATATTTACAGAGCACCTATTCTGTGCGAGGTAGGTGCTGGCTGCTGTAGAGGATGGATCTCCCAACTTTGGATATTCATGGTCACTCATCACGATTGTTTTGCCATATCCAGGTATCACCTGTAGTAGTACTGATTTACTGATTAAAAAGATAAATTTGCCTGTTCCACTTAAGTCCATTTCAAAAAAGAAACTTCATGTTACTACCATAAATGGGAAAGCAGACTCACTTGATGCAAACAGAAAATAACTATAAAATTAAAACAAAGAAAACAAAGCAATGCAATTAAATTAGAGCATGATTTTTGTTACCTGCTACTGAGGGGGTCTCAGACCTACTCTCTTTGTTAAAAGGGGAGATTGGAAGTGTTAATGAGGTATGAAGTACATACCAGCATCAGGTGGAGACTTCCTCTTTGAGTTGGAAGAATAAAAAGAGCATTAAAGAGGCAAACTTTCCCCATCTGTGTTCCCATTTTATTTAATAACCTCATCTGTACACCATATAAAATCATCCCATCTTTCATCAGGGATATGTAGGGTATGTGGGGAATTCCAAGAAAGACAAGAGAGGTCTTGCCCTCCAAGACTCTCCCCATCCCTATCTTTTCATTGCTGGGATCCCTCCCTCGTACTCAGGAGGTGATGCTGAGAACCCCCTGTCTTTGAGACTGGACATTTTAATGGCTGCTTCCACGAAGGCCGATAGCGCATGTCCTCTACCTTCTTTTCTTTTCCTTAAAGTTTCTAACTTGGCTTAGTTTCTGAGTCTAAACCTATTCTGGAATGTTTATTCAAGTTGCTCATCTCCTCCATTCTGCAGAAAGCACTTCTGGCACCACACAAATACCCCTCTTCCTTTTTGAAGTAATTAGTGTTTTCTGGGGACAGGCTCCCTACACAGTCTGTAGAGAGTGAGCCTTTGGGGCAGGAGCTGACGAGGTGGCCCCTCCTAATGGCTCATTACTCTTTGTCTCTCATGTTCTTCAGGGCATGTGATGATGTTGTGGCCACCGAGCATACTCTCCATCTCCAAAAATGCTGTCAGAACAGCATCTTCGGTGTTAAGTGTAGATCTGAGAAGAGGGTTAATGTGAGAAGGACGTTGTGCCTTCTTCTTCACTTAGGGAAATTCAATTCCATAAAATCCCACTATGCTCACATGTGCCTGGAGTTTGTAAGCCCAAAGACCCGCTGGGGAGGAGGGGTGGGGAGAAAATACAAGTCATTGCAGATGATTTCTAGGATGTTTGCTTAATTCTCATTTGTCTGGGGTGTCAGGTTTGCCAAAGCAGTGCTGCTTAGACCAGATTTTGGATCCATTTCGGGGTGGATTTGGAGACCCCTCCCCACGTTCCTCAGAAAATAATGCAGAGGTGGTATCTCCACTCTTCATGTATGACCTCTGCATGTCCAAGTCCATGGCTGCTTATAAGTAACAAAATGCGTCCCTACCATTTATTAGCCTTAACACCGTGCTAGGCACCTTACACAGCAGGCCTCACATACTTTTTACAGCCCCATGGGGTGAGCGCTATGATTACCACCATTTTGCTGAGGAAGAAACAAAGCCTCAGAAAGTTTGAGGTATCATCCAAGTGACACAGCAAATGATTAGCAAGGCTAACATTGAGGTCTTGAGATGTACTCAGGTTCTAACATCAGGATGAACGGGCCTGAATTACAGGCCAGGCTTGGGGCTGGGAATGGGTCCCCCATTTGTCTGGGACTGAGGAGTTTCCTGTGATGCCAGAGCTGGAAAAGACTGAGCCCCTGCAGGTTGTGGGGGGAGGGAGTCTGCCTCCCAGTCTGTTTTTCTACATCCTTTCCTCTAATATCTGGTTATCACAGGTGTATCAATTGTCAATATATTACCTTAAAAAATACCGGTTGGGCAGGGTGCTGCTTTGGAGGCTGTGAGTGGGAAAGGAAGCACTTCTGGCCCTCCTTCACCATCTCCTGGTGGCTACACCTCTGCTCCAACCTGGGGACCTCTGAACTCACAGGTACTCTATGTTGTTCTCCTTCGTGCTTGCATTCTCAGGAGGAAGCAGAACCTCCCCCAGCCTCAGCGGCTGCCTCTTACATTCAGAAAGCTCTGTTTCCAAAACATCAATGATGTTTTTTTTTGAGCACCAGTGAGAGAAGGTTCTGTTCTCTGCGTTCCTCCCGACTACATCTTAATTACTTCTGCTTAAATTGTGAGCGGCAAGTTCAACCACTCTGCTCGTCTCCTAAGTGGCAAATTAAGACTAATTTAGATGGGGTTTACAGATTAGCCAACATTCAAACAGCAGAGAATGACTTGGTGTTCTCCGCTAGGATCCTCTCTCCAGGGGGCAGCTCATGTTGAATGGGCAGCAGGTGTGGGCTTGTGCCTGGTCTGATGCTCTGCTCTGCCTGGGTCCTTCTTTCCCAGTTTTGACTGCTCACATCAGCCCTCTGCACGTGCTTCTCTAACACTACCTTTTATTTTAGACTCTTTCGAATGGTTTCTGGATTCAGTTTTGTTGGACTTAGTTCAACTTGATTTGATTCCCATTTATTGAGTCTCTGTGAAGCGCTGGAATGAGGAAAGTCATATTACTGTTCAGAAAATTCTGATAATTTTTTTTCCCCTTTGCAGGAGAACTAGGGAGGTCTCTGAGGGGGTCTGTGTGTTTGACTGCTCTGTGAATGATTTTGTTTGGACCTTTGCAGCCCTGGTGTCCATTCAGCCTACTCTGAGGGCTTTCTTTTTATTTGACTCTGGCTGACTCATCCCTAAGTTATCCAATGCCAAGCCGTGTTTTGGGAAGCACATTCTGGAGGGTGAAGGAATTCTTCCAAGGCTAAGATAGGCATGGTCTGCCTTCCCATTCACACTGTTTCCTATGTCTAGAACACTCTTCCTCTCCCTTCCTTGCTTCATAAAGGTCTCTGCTTTAAAGCTACCTCCTCAGAAAGTCCTCTGTGAGCACCCTAAATATAGGAGGTGCTTCCCATCACTTTCTGTCTAACCCCTTATCCTATTTTATCTACATAGCACTTATTGTTACCTGAAACTATGTACATACATATATGTGTGTACGTTTTCCTGAGAGGTCCTTTAATTTGCAAGTGCAGTGAACTGGGGGATAACAGTCATGCTAAGCCATGGAGAAGAGAGACCATGGCAGAATACCATGGCAGGGCCTCTCGATGAGGTGTGGTGGGAAGAACAGGAGGGAACTAGCTTGGTCATAGCTACTGGGCTTAAAAGGTACCAGCTGCTTCGGTTGTAGGGGAATGCTGGGTTCAACTTAAAAGGCTCTGGAACGTCAGGATGAGATATGGCATGGCCACAAGTTGATCTTTAAGGTCATCCTTCTGTAGCATGGGACATTGAGGGCATCTCTGTGCTTGGCCAGCTGCTGCTTCCTTTCTTGAGGGTGGACAAGTGACTCTTGGTCACCTGAGGGTAGGGACCCTTTGGGTTTGATGTCTCCTTGGCTCATGGCCAAGAGCTGTGAGTTTCCTGGAGCTTGGGGGCCTTGGAGTTGGGTCCCTACTGTTGTTCCTCTACAATGCATGGACAGGTGGGATGACTCTGGCTTTCTTGCTGAAAGTTGGCCTCTGTATGCATGTATGCATCCATCCATCCTGATTTCCTTCTTTCCTTGAGAATAAGGACCTTATCTTCCTGTCCACTGCATCTCTCATACTTAGTATATGTTAGATATTATGAAAATATTCATCAAATGGGAGAGTGGATGGATAGATGGATAGAGATATGTGGGTGAGGAAATGGATATTAGTCTATGTTAGATATTATGAAAATATTTGTTGAATGGGTTAATGGGTGGATAGATGGATGGAGATATATGGATGAGATAAGTGATAGGGACCCTTATTTTACCAATTTCTCACTTACCATGAGGCAGTAGACTATTTGCCCTCCTTGGCCCCTTGATCCATACCCTTCTCCAAGCTTCCTATGTTCTTTTGACTCATAGTCTTTCTTTAGCCTTGAGCTCATTTTTGCCAATCAAGATCCCCTTCAATCTTTAGGCCCAGTTTGACAGGGGACCCTCTGCACTATGTCACAATTTTCAAACTTGAAGTCATCCACACACACATATATACACAACCCCCTTTGAGAGAAGGGTGTTTGTCTTGTTCATCATTTCTATCCTCAGAATCTAGCATAATGCCACTCTATAAATGCTTATTGAATAAATAACTGAACAGACACCTATATGGTAGCACAAACCTAATTCTGCTTTGCATTATCATTGACTGTTTATATCTTGCCAGCCTGCTTGGGAGGTCAGGAACTGGGGCTCAGTCATCTCATATCTATGCTAACTCAATGCTTCATTTGTAATGATAACGGTAATAGCATGAGCAGATACTCTTTTGTGAGCATCCACTGTCTAAGTGCTAGGCACTAAACTTTATCTGTATAAGTTCATTACTTCTCACGATCACTTTGTGGGATGGTTTTATTAGTACCTTTTCACAGAGAAGGAAGCTACACCTCAGAGAGTTTAGAAACCTAGTCCAAAGTCTTTGGCTTATAAGTAGAAGAGAGAATCTGACACCAGAGTCCCATTATTTCCCCCTTCATAAGGCTGCATTCCTCTCTTGGGGTAGGAAGTGCTCTTATAAAAGTTATTTCAACTAAATGGGCTTAGAACATCTTCAAACAGATCTGAAGACTGCTCTGTACTGCTGTCACTCGACTGTTCTAGATACTGTACAGACCAGAATTTATAGGTCTCCAGGATTCCCCTATCATCAGAAGTAAGACCTTCTTTCGAAGTTCCCGACAGTCTACCAGGACAACCACCCCACAGGGAGCCACTGCCCAACTGAGATGGTAGAGTCCTCACCTGTCACGTAGTTCTTCAAATCCAGCTCATTGCTGAGAGGATTGTTGCTCTTGAACATATATAGGTTAAAGGGGGCTGGCTCCTTGCCCACATTTTTCCACATGGTGTAGTCTGGAGAGGTCCATCGTCCTGCCAGCACATCATAATCACGCTGAGTGAAGTGGACCAGCTTAGTCAGGGGATCATAGAGTCCACCATGGAAGCCAATGACCATCTGGAAGTCAGGGTTGGAGTCATAATAAATCTCCCCATAGGCTGTGTACTGCAGTTGTTTGATCATGAGACCGTTGATGCTGAACACAGCCAGAGGAGTGCCTGTGTTATCTGAGGCAACATAGTACTCCTCCCCACTGCTGCTCTCCATGGCAAAGAGGTGACCTTGGAGGTCATAGTAGAGTGAGGTGATCTCTGAGTTGGAATGATTATAGACATGGGTGATGCGGGTCGGGTTGTGGAGGTCAGAGTAGAAATATTGCAGGTGGTGGCCCAGGTTGGTCTTGTAGGAAGCCCGCCGCCCCACACCATCGTAGCGGTACTGGACACTCCACCCACTGGCCTTGTTGTAGGCTCTTGTTAGGAGGCCCTTGGAGTTATACTCAAAGATGTCAGCCCCTCGCTGGCACAGATAGCCATCATCGTCAATTTTGTACTGCACATCTCCGAGTCTGGTTATCCGATCCCGGAGATCATAGCGCAAGGGCATAAGGCGTACACTATTTCCCGGGTTCAGCAAGTGGAGGTTCCCATTGAGGTCATAGCTGTAGCGCCAGGTTGGGCGGTCATTGACAGCCACACTCTGGAGCTGCCCATCCCCATCATAGTCATAGGTGTACTTAGTGGTGTTAGCATAAGGCCCCAGTTTTAGCTCCCTCTTAATCACCCTTCCCATACTGTCATATTGCACTGTCATCCAGTACATGAGGGACCGAAACATCTCATACTGGACTTCCTTGATCCTCCCGTGGGTGTCAAAGTGTTTGCTGAGGGTCATTACCGCGGTGGTGATGATCTGGTTTATATCATAATAGATGACTCCGAACTTGCCAAAATGCTCCACCTTGCCAGAAATCTCATCATAGCGGTAGAGATCAACAGGAAGGGGAGTCTCACTTATGACGGGCTTGATGCTTGCAATCCGGAAGCTGTTGTCATGATAGGTGTAGTCGAACCTGGCATTGACCATGCCTTCCTCAGAGAACCTGTAGATCTGCTTGTCCACCAGTGGGCCAATCTTCCGGTACCTGATTGTGCAGGAGAAACCCCCACTTTGGAGACTGACCATTTTTAAAACGCCAGTGGTCTCATCATATCCGAAAGTGACAGCAGTACTGTCATAGACTATCTCTGATAACTTGGAGAGTTTCCCATACTTGTAGAATACCTGGCGCCCGGTGCCCAAAAAGGACGTCTTGAGGATGCGGCCATCATCACTGTAGTCAAAAATGACTGAAGCATTGCTTTCAGGGGGATTATAAATGTTGCGGATGTAGCCAATGGAGGTATGGGTGGACATGCTGTGCCGGGCAACACTGGGCATGGTGACGGCGTGGAGACGGTCGGAGGAGTCATACTCAAATATGTACTGACGCTGACTCTGAAGCAGGAGGACCATAGACTGGAGGAAGGAAAGGGGGAAGGAATGCATGAGTTGGCTCTTTAAGACCAAGCACTCAAATGGACAGAATCTACTCCATTTCCCGAAATGGCGATTCAAAAGCCATGAAGGATGGGGAAGTTTAGATGGGAGATTATGAGTAGATTGATTTCACTGGACATGCTAATTCTTATGGATTATGGTGGCTACCTGGACCAGTGCTTCCCGAACTTTACTGTGCATGTGAAATACCCAGGGATCTTGTTAAAAGTCAGATTCTGATTTAGTAGTTTGGTGGAGGATGAGGGATGAGGGGGGAGGTGGCCTGAGAATCTGCTTTTGTAACAAGCTTCCAGGTGATCCTGATGTTGCTTAGACCATACTTTGAGTAGAAAGGGCTGGAAGGACATTGAGTTTACTTCTAGGGCTCAATAACAAGAAATCCTAAGATTGTTTAGAAATGACTGTCACCGGTGCCGCAGGGGACACCCAATACTATGTGTTGGCCACCCCTGATTACATCTAAAGAGAAAGCATATCTTCCATTTAGAAACTCCTAAAAAGATTAAATAACCCAGAATCATCGATTTTGGGGGATAAAAATGGCCTCAAACTTGAGGCAAGTGGGAGATTCTTGCTTCCTCTGGTCAACCATTCTAGTATTTTATGGCATAATGAGAACAGGATTCAGGGATGACCAAAGGGAAGCAGTCCCACTCTTATGGAGGTCACTGCTCTGTCTGCAAGTGACTGCTGTAATGGACAGGCAAGAAAGGAAGAAATAGAAATGGAACCTGTGTTGAGGGCAGAGGCCCAAGCTGAGTAAGCCCCCATCTAATGACTTAGAGGACCAGGACAGCCTTCAAAAGTCTTGACTTGTGCCCCAAAAGGACTTCTTTTTACTTCTGCTCCAACCTGACCCTTTCTGACATGGAGACCTGAATCTGACACTTTTAGACATAGGGACTTATGTAGAGAGAATCCATTGGCTGTTTCAGCTTATAGGCCACATAGGAGGATGTTGCTCTGTGTGCTTGAGTTTTAGGCAAAATTCCCTACCCGGATGATTTAATTTCGGGGAAGGCAGAAATGAATCATTGCATTTCCAAATCATAAATAATGACTAGCCGTGATGCCAGTGGGATGATTCTGTCTGCTTCAACAGCATTTTTTCTTTTAAATAAAATCAGACAATCCATTCTTTTTGCCATTACCAAGTGTCTAGCACTTTTTTTTCCCTTTTAATGGTAATAGTGATGAGCTATGAATAACATTTTCCCTCAGATTTTCCTCCCTCCCAGTGAGGATGGGAGCATGAGGGGAGACCTTGTAGAGTCAAAGTAAAGATGTTAAATGTCTTATGGCAAAGTATATCAGGTCAGCTTAAGAAGAGAAGTGTGAATAAGGGAAAGCCCCAGCTGAGTGGGGACAGCACGTTCACCTACTTTGTCAAGGTAGGAGTAGCTCCACACTTTCCCATCAGCGAACATGCGGGACACGATTCGGCCTTGCTTGTCAATGTCTGTCCTCTCACTCATGGCCCCACGCTGAAGGCCAGCCAAGCGCCCATTGAAGAAGTATGAGACGTTGACTGCTGCCAGCCCACTGCTGGGGAGCCAGAGGAACGGGCGGCCCACCTGGTCATAAATGATCCTCAGGGTGAACTTCCGGTGATCATCATAGATCTTTTCTGTCCGAATATTCCGGTCATAGTCAATGGACAAGAGATTTCTTCCATGGACCTGGGAAAACACAATGGGCTTGGTTTGAGAGACATCACCTGGGCACGTTAGCTTCTGTGGAGGATATGGCTGACATGGCCAGGGAACAAGTGTTCACAGGAGGAAGAACTAACCTTTAAGTTATTTAGAGTAGTGTTTTCTAAACTTCTTTATGTCATGGTACACAAAGAAAATGGTAATATTTGTAGGGTGCACTAAGATACAAAAATGAGGCTGCTTATGGTCACAGATGACTAATCTGGGCATGGCTGCTGTGAGCAGTTATGTAGACCATACACTGCACAGTTATAAGGAGTATCATCCTGTCGTAGAAAGTATGAATAGTGAAAATTGTGCACTGTATAAATTAGCCATACAAATAGCCCTGGACACTGGGGTTCTGACTGCCCTGCCTGGCCACCTTGGAGGGCAAGATAATTTGTATATTTGCACACTTTCAACCGTTTTTGAGCACATTACCAGCTGAGTAGCTAATGATCTTTAAGAGTAGGTGCCAAGATTTCTTCTGAAGCCTCAAGTAAAGGTACCTAGGAGGGTGGGGGGGATGACTTAGAAATCCATATTTTGCAAAGATCTGGGAATAGGAAGGCTTATTGCTATGTGAACTTCTTTACTTCTATCTAGAGAAAATTCTTGCCACTGTCAAGGATGCAAGACATCAGTGGGGAGACCTCAACAGGGCTGGGGAATTCCAACAAAGGAACTGATTTACTTAGATTTGAAAGGAATAGTGGAACACACCTAGACATAATTTAATATTTATTTAGAAGCTGATCTGATCAGAGAAGAGAGCCTGTCTCAGAAGGCAGATCTGGGTGACTAGACTCTGGTTAGGGGCAAAGGAGAGGGATTCTTGAGATTCAGCTAGTCCTGAGTGGATGGCTGGAAGTGAATAAAATGAGGCCGACTGAGCCCAGGCTCTTTCAACATAATTGACTGCAAATCCAGATGTCCCTGGGGTGACCACTGAAGGCAAGGGAAGACGTAAACAGGCAGAAGAAAGAGAAGTGAGAGATGTCTGGTACCTCCTTAACTTACCTAATAATTCAATAGCACCTAATAATAACAGTGATGATGGTGATGATAGTGGTGGTGATAATAACTTTAACACATGCTGGGGTTATTGTACATAGGCATTGTGTTAGGCACTTTGCATCTCTTGTCTGAGTTGGTGCTCACAAGGACCACTTGACAAATAAGGAAACTGAGCCCGAAGCAGAGAGGTCGCATACTTGCTCAAGGTCACATAACAACGAAGTGGTAGGGTTGGACTGGAACTTAGGTCTTCACACTTGAACCACTTTTAACCACTTAGACATTTAACTGGCTGTACTGATTCCTGTATTATATATGCATTGAGTGCCCTGACTTGTCAAATGATGAAGAAACTGTAAAGCATTGCCACAGCCCCTGAGGGCTCCATATTATAGCTTGATGGGGAGACATAGAATAATTCTAACACCACAGACATCTGTATTCTAGGGAGCAGCATTGTACCCAGGTAAAGAACTACATTTCATAGCTTCCTCAGAAGTGGATGGCTAACATGATGTAAGTGGTAGTTGTCAGCTGGGTCTCCTGGGAACCTTAAAGGAAACTGACTCTGCTGAGAAATAGGCACCCATTTGTTCTTCCCACTTTCCTCCTTTTCCTGGGTGGAAGGTGGCTATGATCCCTGGAGCTCCAGCATTCACCTTGTAAGTATGGGGTGACTTTGAGGATGGAAGGACGAGGGCTCATCCAGAGAAAGTCTAGATCCCTGTTGACTTACATATCTTCTAATGGTCATCCATACCAGCCATGAATGGCTTACCTCTAGACTCCTTTTAGGTCATAACAAATAAGGACATATCTTATTTAAGCCATTGTTATTTCTAATCTCTGTTACTAGCAGTTGAAACTAATCTAAACCGATATAAGCCCCTCATGCTTTGACAGGTACTGTCCTAGGTACATTACATAACTTATCCCAGTTTAATTCTCACAACACGTAGAAATTATTTTATACATGGGCAGTTGAGCTCAGAGGTGGTCACAAATCTAGACAAGTGGTGGAAGCTGGATTTGAACCCAGGACTACTTGATTCCTCAAACTATTGCCATTTCCATGGAGTCATCTCAGAGAGAAGGGGATAAAACTCTTGAGATAGAACATTTCAGAAAGAAAATGCATCAAAGCATGGAGATAGGAATAAAGGCGGTGGGTTCTTGGGATTACAGGGCACCCAACTCCAAATGGAAGATTTATGTAATCAAACAGGCAGCCATAGGGAAGAACAGTCAAGAAAGTAAAGGGGGAGTGGTAGGATTTTTAAAAAACAGGTCCAGGGATGCCTGGGTGGCTCAGTTGGTTAAGCGTCTGCCTTCGGCTCAGGTCATGATCCCAGGGTCCTGGGATCGAGTCCTGCATCGGTCTCTTTCCTCAGCAGGAAGCCTGCTTCTCCCACTGCCTGCCGCTCCCCCTGCTTGTGCTCTCTCTCTCTGACAAATAAATAAAATCTTTTAAAAAAACAGGTCCAAAAGTTAATGCTGTCAGAATTATTGAGGCTCTTGATCCCCAATTAGAGTCACCATATTCAAAGCAAACCACAAGCTGGGGTCAGAATGATCACTTCCTCTGGAAACAGAAGTTTGGCTATGTGGGGTTGCTTCATTTGGGACAAGTGCAGAAGGCCAGCAAGATTCTTAATCCTGTGAGTTTGAAAATTTCAGTTCAAGACCTTGCCAACATTTTATTAGGCAGAATGAATAATGTGGCAATAACGAGGAAGGATTTTCAGGGTTTCTTGAGCCAGCTGCTGGTTATCATGCTTATGTATTTCCCATCTCCTTGGTCATCCTTCTATCCTCCTTCCCTTTCCTTACTAATTTCTCTTTTTGCTTCTCTTTGCTAATATCATACAGCTCCCTGTGCATTTATTATTTATTGAACATTAAATCTCTGCTAGTGTCAGGTTTGGTGCCTGCTCTGGAATGCAGGGATGAACAACACCAATGTGTCTTGAGAATTTATGATGGGCTTAGTGTGTTCTCAGAGCTACCCTTGTTTTATCTTATTTAATCCTCACAACACTCCCAGGCAAGCACTATGATCCCCACTCTACACACAAGGTACAGATAGGTTTAAGTGCCCTGTTCAGGCTTAAACAAATAATAAGTGGTAGAGCCAGGATCCCAGTCCAGAACTCAGTGTCTTCACCTCTAGGCTGTACCACCTCTCTGACCAGCTGCTCTCCATCAGGCATGTGATTCTAAACCACCTGGGATGCTCTCTCAAAGCACTCCACAGCTGCTGATCAGCCCCCTAGGGAATAGGGGCTAGGAGATTCTGATGTATATTCTTGGTTAAAATACAGTTGGAGTGATATAAATCCCTATCTTCAGTTACCTGAGAGAGGCTAACAGGCAAATCATATATATATAACCATAATATAATCATGTGTGTATCTGCATATATATATGAATATATACTGTAACATGTAACCATGGGAAAGAACATGGAAATCATATATAAGCATGACCATCATTGTAACAATTATATTAGTATGTGAGGGTGCTAGGATTGCAGAAGGAACCGAACAATGGGCAAAACCAGAAGAGGGGTCCCTAACTTCTGACTGCCAACATTTGGGTTTATTGCTATTACGTAGAGTTGATAAGGCCTCTGACCCCTGGCCTGGGTGCACCAATCATAAAGAAGTAGTAAGTGCTAAATGTTAGCCATTGATAATTTAAGGTGGGATTTTATTCCCCAATTTACTACGCCCTTGGGAAAGGGATTTTGTTACAGCATTGGTTTAAATTAGCTTCCTCCCCCTAACTTTATTGAGATATAGTTGATACACATCACTGTATACATTTAAATTATACAGCATAATAAACTTATGGGTATAATGAAATGAAATCCCTAATAAGTTTAGTTAATACCTATCATCTCATATAATGTTTTTTTTTCTTTTAAAAAATTTTTTCGCTTTGTGATGAGAACTCTTAGGATTTTATTCTCTTAACAACTTTTCTATATACCATACAGCAGTGTCAACTACAGTCACCGTGCTGTATATTACATCCCTAGTACTTTGTTATCTTATAACTGGAAATCTGTACCTTTTGACTACTTTCCTCCAATTCCTTTTCCACCTACCCTCCACCTCTGGTAACTACAAATCTGATCTCTTTCTCTGTGAGTTTTCATTTGTATTTATTTTTTTAAGAGTCCACATATAAATAAGATCATACAGTATTTGTCTTTCTGTGACTTATATCACTTAGCATAATGTCATCCAGAGTCATCCATGTTGTTGCAAATGGCAGGATTTTCTCGTATTTTTTGGCTGAATCATATTCCATTGTAAATATATAAACAGCTTTTTTATCCCTTCACCTGTTGATGAACACACAGGTTGTTTCTATGTCTTGGCTATTGTAAATAATGCAGCAATGGACATGGGAATACAGATAGATCTTTGATACACTGTTTTTATTTCTTTTGGATATATTCCCAGAAGTAGAATTGCTGGATTATATATTTTCTATTTTTAAAATTTTGAGGATCCTCCACACTGTTTTTCATAGCACCTGCACCAATTTACTGTCCTACCAACAGTGCCCCAGAGTTCCATTTTCTTCACATCCTTGTCAGCATGTACTCTTTGTCTTTTGATGACCACCCTCACAGGGATGCAGTGTTACTGTGGCTTTGATTTGCAATGCCCTCACAATTAGTGATGTTGAGCATCTCCTCATGTATCTTTTGGCTGTTCATCTATCTTCTATGGGAAAATGTCTGGGTCCTTTGTCCATTTTTATTATGTATGTATGTATTCATTCATTCATTCAGGTAATCTCTATGCCCCACAGTTGTATGAGTTTATTTTTTTGAAAAAGATATTTATTTATTTATTTATTTGAGAGGGAGAGAGAGAGAGAGCAAGCAAGCGAGCACCAGTGAGAGAGAACACAAGCAGGGGCAGAGGGAGAAGCAGGCTCTCCACTGAGCAGGGAGCCTGATGTGGGGCTGCATCCTAGGAGCATCATGATCTGAGCTGAAGGCA